GAAAATGCTGTAAGATTCCAGCTCAACATGAGGAAGATCTTCCTGACAGTAAGAGCTGTTTAACAGTGGAACACATTTCCTCAGAGGATGGTGGGGTCTCCTTCTTTGAAGGTCTTTAAACAAGCTAGAAGGTTATCTGTGACAAGGGAGGCTTTGAGTGGGAGTTCCTGCATGGCAGGGGGTTTGGACTGGATGGCCTTTGAGGGTATCTTCCAACTCCATGTTATGATTGAAGGATTTCTCTCTCTGGCCCAGGGGTAGGCAACCTTTCCCCTTTAAGGGCCGAGGGACTTCAGCTCCCAGAAGCCTCAGCCATGTTGGCCAATAGTCCCATGTTGGCCAATAGCTCCTGGGATTCTGGGAGATGAAGTCCCTTGGCCCTTAAAGGGGAAAGGTTCTGGCCCATCCTGCCTTGAAACAGCCTCTCCTTCCTGCTCTGTGCATAACAAAAGGCACAGGGGACTCCCTGCCACTCACTCCTGTTTTCAGGGGGCAGATTGGGAGGGTCTGTGCTCATCCCTTGGCTTCAGTCTCAGGAACAGAAGTGGGAAAGCAAGGATGCTATTCATTCAAAAGGGGGGGCACAGAGCAATTTGTTTCTCTCACACACACAGAAACTCATACAGGTATTTCCAGGTTTTCAGAATTCATGACATACAGGTTTGACCCTCAGAAAGCAGCTATATGTAAGCCTGTGTTCAACCTAAATACCAAATAAATAATAATAATAATAATAATAATAATAATAATAATAATAATAATAATAATAATAATAATAATAATAATATCCCCCCCTTCCTCCTGGTGTAGTGACTCAAGGCAACAGTGATTTCATTTAACTTGGCCATGCATTTCTCTGAAAAGTAACACAGGGCCCACTTCCATTAATCATAGGATGCAAACACACTTCTGCCTTTAGGAAGAGCCCAGTTCCCCAAATAAGTTTGGGTTATATTATTATATTATTATTAATTTTGGGTTGTTGGGTTTTTTGTTTGTTTGTTTTGGTCCTCCAGCTTCTATAAAAGAAAAAAGTTATCCATTCCCTCAATGGAGTGGGTGGGTTTCTCTCTGCTAAAATAAAGGGGTCGCCTTCCAGCCCCCCAACAAAGGGAAGGGGAGAAATGGGTGTCTACAGTGGTCGGGAGAAGGAAGGGTTAATGGGAGAGAGAGGCAGACTCCTAGAGGGTCCGGAAGCGGCGGCCAGTCCTCCAAAGCAGTAGAGGTGGATTCCTAGAGAGGGCGGAAGTAGAGCCCAGTCCTCCAGAGCAGTAGAGTTCTCAGTCCTCCTTCTTGGGCGGCCTCTCTCTCTCCTCCTGAGCTCCGGTGAGTCCAGAATCCGGACCTTCTAGGGGCGCCCCTTCAGGAGGAGAAGGAACTGTTGGGAGGACCCCAGGAGGAAGAGCAGAGTCTGGGGTCCCTGGGGAGGGGAAGAGGGGCCTCCATCTTCCAGCCAGGCCACCTTGCTGCCCTTGGTCTCCCCTCTGGAGTGAAGGCCAGCAGGACAGGGAGGGAGAGAAGGGCTGGGGGGCAGTAGCAG